GACCGCGGCCGGCCGCTGGTCAGTCTGGGGGGCCGGTGGCTTGGTTGGCGGAGTGTGGTGGTCGTAGCCGCTGCTGGGGGCCGCGCCATCGCTGCCTGAGAGGACACGGGGACGAAGGCAGGGCTGCTCGGGGCAGGGCAGCGATGCTTCGCCTCGCAGGTGGAGGAGGCGCAGTGGGAGGGTCGGCACCTCGCTCATCTTGTGGCGCTAGGACAGGGGGAAATGGTTTTAAACTCAAAGACGGCTGATTCAGACTAGATCTAAGGATGAAATTTTTTACGCTGAGGGTGGTGGAGCACTGGACCAGGTTGCCCAGAGAGGCGGTAGATGCCCCATCCCTGGAAACATTCAAGGTCGGGTTCGATGGGGCTCTGAGCAACCTCATGGAGTTGAAGACATCCCTGCTCATGGCAGGGGGGGTGGACTGGATGACCTTTAAAGGTCCCTTCCAAACCTAAACCACTCTATGATCTACCCCAAGCTGCCACACGTCCCAAACACAGTTACAGGTGCTTAAAAACTGATCAGGGAAGATGACGCTTGGCCAGGCTGGTGTTCAAGCATTGTGAAAAACACTGACCCAAGGAGACAGCACTGTCCCTCCAGGCATCACCTGGACTGTTGTACCTCTCTTGGAGGCACCATCATTTCCCTCCAGCCTTTCGCTGGGTGAGAAGCAAGTTGCTGGCTGGCGTTGGCGTAGGCAAGGAGATGCTGAACATGGCTGCTGTTGGAGGGATCTCTTACCATCTCCAATGCATGTATTAACGAAAAGCTCTTCCACTTCGGCAGGTGTGGTCTCAAGGTGTTTGCCTTTCTGTGCCACTTGACGGTCAGCTCAGCGAGGCAAGTGGGGGTCTCCGTGTTGAAGCTTAGGAAGTCCTGGCCCAGGAGGGACCAAACACATAGAAACCGTAAGTGAGGAACAAAGCCTCGCGTGCAGGGGACAGGCTGGGCTGGAGGGTGACAGCGTGACAGGGAGGTGGCCTTGGTTCCCGTGGGTCTGGGTGGAAATATGTTTTCAGGGAGCTTTCAAGAGGCGCGTGTACTGTCAGGCTCCCTCGAAACGAAGGGAGGTCTGCTAGGCGCTGTGGCAGAGGGTAGATGCAAATCGAAGCCACCAGGACCCTGTGACTCCTGCCATGCTGCCTTGCCTGTTTTCACCACACACCGATTTGCCAGAGACTGCTCCAGTGCTACGCTTTGGAGTGGACTCAGGCCTGTCCTTGGGTGGGGGTGGTACCGCCCTGGGCAGAGCCCAGGGAAGGAGAAGGTGCTGCTCCATGCCCCTTGCAGTCAGGGCAAAGTGCTGCTGAGTCCAAAGGGCCTGGACCGGTCCTGGTACGTGCCAGGGGTGCCGCGCTGCCACCCTGCCCCTCTTCTCAGCATCATGTTCCTGCCCCCAGTACCGTGGTGTCAGTGGCACAGGGTGAGCTTTGGGAGGGGCCCAGGGCCAGGACCCCTGAAAGGTGTTTCCCCTGCATGGGTTAAGTCCACTGCTTGGAGCTCTCATGTGCAGTGGTCTGTGAGGTTGGGGGCAGCTCCCACCTCAGCATGGTTCTTGTCCTGCTCCGCTCTGGGGCGGGAGCCCAGACCCAGCTCTAGGGTGCAGGGTGGATCAAAGGTGGGGGGAGACATGGCTCTTCTCTTGCCCACCCTACTCTCTGGTGCCAGTCACCCTCCTGCTTCCAGCAGCTGCAGCTGTTCTGCCAGTAGTAAAAAGGGGTGTTTGAGTCTTTTGGAGGTGTTTTAGTCTCGCTCCTGCTCCAGAGCATTGTCACACCATCCCTGTGGGAGGGAGGGTGTCATTCCAGTGCAGTGCTGCCTGCTGTGAAGCCACTCTCCAGGGGAATATGTGGGCAAGCTGAGGGCGCTCTCCTGCTTGCTCGACTCTGCCACTGTCTGGGCTCAGGTCTTCCCTCACAGTTTTTCCCCTGGTAACTGGTGACGTGGCAGCCCTGGGGGAAGAAGGAACCTTCTTTTGGAAATCCCCTGGCACCGTTCGCACCCTTCCCATGACAGCACTGAGGTCTCAAGAAGGCAGAGGGGGTCCCTGGCGTGAGGATGGGAGGGGAGACACAAGCATGGACCACCTTAGCTGTGGGAGCTGCACATCTGTGGCACAAGGGATGGGAGCACCAGCTCCCGCCTGGTTGGTAATGGTTCGGACAGCTCTGGCACAGCCGGAGGGGATGGCTGGAGTTGGCACAGGTCTCGGGGGAGCTGAGTCCCCGTGGGCCACTGCCTGATGAAAGGGGACACCCCCGTGCACAAGCCAGTGCTGCGACTGCTCGTCTTGATGCACCAGCAATCCCTTCCCGGCCTCAGGCCCCTGACGCTGCAGGGCTTGGCGTCCTTGGGGTGATGTGAGAGCTGCCCAGCAGCAGAGGCTCTGTCTGTCCATCCTGCCTGCTTGCCCCCACTGGCCCCCACCTTCCGCACCCACAGAGACAGGGGATTTCCACCAAAGCCAGTGTCCCTGCCAGCATTTCGGGGAAAGGGCCCTGCCTGCTCTCCTTGCCCTCCAGTAACCCCAGCCCAACCAGTCAGCAGTCAGCACTGGGCTGCATCACCAGTCTCCGGCAAACTCCGGGCAGCTGAGGTCCTGGTCCCAGGGTGTGGCACCAGCATTGTCTGCCGCAGGCACCTGAGGCGAGCCCTTGGCCCGGCATTGCTGGGTCAGGGCACCCGAATTCGTCTGGGAGCTGTGGAGTGGGAGCAGGGGCTCAGCCAGGAGCTTTTCCTCCTTGCAGAAGCTCCATGTTGGCTACAGCCCCTGCATGAGTCCAAGCCTGGAGGCAGCGAGCAGCAGCTGGTTTTGGGACCCATCTTTTAGGACGTGCCCCTGTTGCGCTCTGGGGCTGCATGGCTGAGGCGGGAGCCCCTGGACACCTCCGGCCAGTCCCGTGCCCCCGGTGCTGTCTGCAACCCACGCGGGACTGTATCCGCTTTCCAAACCCATTCCCTTTTCTCCCTCCCTGCTGGCATCTCGTGTCAGGACCACGAGTGTCCTCCTGAGGTTGAGGGCGCTTGTTGTGCCTTTGCCAGAGGGGAGGACAAGCCTTGCGTCCCTTGTGTCCCCAGTGACCCCCTCTGCTCCGGCCATGTCCCCCCAAGGCCTGCCAGTGCTCCCCAGGGCTGAGCTCAGGGCTGAGCCCCCTCAGTGTGTGGATTGCGGGGAGACGCATCCATGGTGGGGGCCAGCCCCAGACCTGTCCTGCAGGGTCAGCAGCTCCTGTCTGATCACCACCATGTGATGCCAGGGGTGGGGGCTTGGCTGTTGCTGCTATTTATTTTTTTTGCCCTAGACTCGGGTTATCTCCAGGTAGTTTTTATTCAGGCCCCGGAGTGAGAGGTCTGCTTCACACCAGACCCCATGCTGAACTGACCCACAGCCGAGCCCCCTTTCCGTGCTTCCCACCGGGGGACTCAGAGCGATGCCTCTGGTATCCCCACGCGACCCCAGCGTGCCACCCATGTGCGAGGTAGCCAGGTTTCACATCCTCTCCACCGCACGTCATCCGCTTTCTGTTCCAGCCGCATCTTCCCCTTCCGCTCCCAGTGAGGAGGGAAGCAGGCCCCAGGCTGCCACGCTGCCTTGTCTACATCGCTGCTCCCGGGAGGGATTTGCTCCTCGCCTGGGGGTTTCCTTAGTGCCGCCTTCTCCTCTACTGCCCCATGGCAACGGTGGTTTTGCTGGTTTGTGTCCCCATCTCAGTCCTTGAGCGTGAGAGGCTCGTGCGTGTGGGGCTCAGCACATCCCTGCCCTGTGGACTCGGACCCTGTCACGGGCACAACTTGGAGCTCCAGTGCCAAAGGCCTCCAGCCCAGCCTCTGCATGGAGGCTGTGCCAGGCCCCACAGAGACTGTGGAGCGCCCCGCCACCCCTACCCCAAGGGCGCAAGCCTGGTGCGCAGACCCCACGCACCCGGGCGGTGATGGGGAAGGAAAGAGGAACCAGGACAGGCACTGCCAGAGACTTTCCCAGCAGGGCTGCCAGTGTCACCAGTTACCAGGCAAAGCTGCTGCTGGGAGAACTGGTCTGGCTGAGGGCAAGATCCACCTTTGCTCCCCCCTGCCCCAGCTCACGGCTCTCAGGAGCAGCTGCAGGGGTCCCTTCCACTGCCCAGGGTACAGCCGTGTGGGCGTGCACGACAGGGACCAATGCCCTGCAGGAGCAGGGTTGTCAGACAAACCAGTCTCATCACCTGTAGTTCACCTGTTCCCCCTCTCTGTCATCCCTTGGCCCCTAGCCCTGCAAGGGGGGGCTCCGCCATGCACCCTCACACCCATGGGATGAGCACCGGCATTGTGGAGCCCAACCACCCCCAGGGGCCTCCCTGGGTGCTGGTGGACCCAGCGGGGACTCCCCTGCCCAGGGTCTGGGCCCCAGCTGGTGTTGGCTCTGCCCACACCTGGTTAACTGGGGAGCCACATGTCCCAGGGCCACTGCTGGGGTCTGTGATGGGTCGGGCTGACCTGGAGCCCCTTCCTGGCTTTGCCATGAGCGTGGCTATGTCCTAATGGGCTCTGTGATCCCCCCCCCCGCCCAACTGTTCTTTAGAGGTGCTAAGATCCCACCTACACCGGCTGGGAGAACCCTGGAGTCCTGGGGTACCCTTCCCTCTGCCCAAGAGCTGGAGCTAGATCCCTGGAGCCCTGCCCCACACCCACCACCCACCAGCCCGTAGACCACCCAGACATCAAGGGGGCTTGTAGAGCTGCGTCCTAGCATGGTGCAGAGAAGGAACTCACAGTGAGGGTCGCACGGCAGGATCAACCCCAACCCACTTTATTGCGGTGACAAAGCAGCAGAGCGGGAGCAGAGGGTGCAGGACTGTGTGCTGAGGGGGAGCTGTGGGGCAGGGCATGCCCCCCCCCCCTTCAGGGGTCTGCAGGGCA